TCGACGATACATCGATTATAGTCCTGCATCTTTGTCTCGAGCTATGGAAATATGGATTAGGAAGAGAGTTTTAGGGGAAGAAGAAGAAGAGGAGAGAGAAAGATAAGTTAAATGAAGAACTTGTAAAAAGTGGGAGTCATTGTGATTAAGTTTATGTGTATATATATATAAGTAAAAAGGGGAAAAAATATACTTGGCTACGTACATGTGAGCCCTACAATGAAATTTTTTTCAAAAAAAAAAGATACCATTAAGAAAAAATAATAATTAAAAAAGGTAATTAAGTTTAATTAATTGAGTGGGAATCTTAGGTGAACTATCTAATTGGGGTTTTTTAAATATTTTTTGTGTAAACTAAATGACAAACTGATTGATACATTAAAAATAAAAAGTGGTTCATCGACGGTTCACTGAGAATTCAATTATATTTATAAAACATGGGATAAAGTTGTTGGATTTGGACTCTGATATCATATCAATATTTATCGGTTTCATCTCAAAACTAATTGATAATAAGAGGAATAGTTCATGTCTGTTATAAATCTTTATTAGATCTTTTATCAGAATTACACATTAGTACAGTGTTAGCCACACACTTAAATCATACGAGATTTATGTGAAGCATAGTAAAAAATAGAGTTTTGTAGAATGACTCGATTACGACTCTTTTACACATTTATGGAATGGATAACATAAGGTCAATAGATATCTTTTCAGTAATTTAAATTTTTTTAGATAAGCACACCGTTCGAATTTTTCAGATAAAAGAGAAATTCAAATTAGCAACAGAGATCAAGTATATTATATTATGTGAGCTCTCACACTCGAGAGAGATTTTATATTCTTTTTTTCCTTTTTTTTCTTTTTTCTCATCCTCTATCGTTTTGTTTTTTTCATTTTCGAAGATCTTAAATAAAAATCTAACTAATAAATGCGATATAACATTGTTTTTCTTAAAAAGAATTATCATATATTTTTTTCTTTTCTTTTTTACACAAAGGAGACGAATTCAAACTCATGAACTGGTTAGAAATAGATGTTAATTATCGCTAAACTAAGTTTATATTGGTTATAATATATATAATTATTTAAGTCGGTCAAATTGATGTCAAAGCGAGTATAGTTCAACGATAATTGACATATATCTCCAATCAAGAGGTTGTGAGTTCGATCCCTAACTCCACATGTTATACTAAGGGCCACCGACTCCTGGGTATTCAAAAATAATAATAAATAACTTTAAATAAGGTTAAATAACTTTAAATAAGGTTTGAGTATGTGTATTAGTTCCTTTTAAGTTTATTGGTTTAACCCATATTTAATCCTCTTTCCCGAAACCCTAGCTTAAACTTGCATAAACGCTAGCTTCTTCCATTGTAAACTTTGGAAATTTGATAAATAACTTGGTTTTTCTAACCTTTCCAACAAATCTCGGTTTATATAAATAAACTCATACATATCAAACATGAATTGGATCATAACTTTACAATCTTAAGTTATACAAATCTAATTTATAAGCTAAATGTTGCCCTCAATACACCGAAAAAAGCTCCAAAGTCGTTCAACATCTTGCATTAGTCCCGACTGGAGTGTTCAATGCAATACGGCCAAGGTGAAACTCTAGATCATTTGTTTCTCCATTGCAAATCCACGGAGGTCATATAGGTCCTCCACTTGGATGCTTTTAACTTGTCTTTCCTTGTCACAATAACAATTTCATCCAAAAAAGTCTCTACAGAAAGCTCTCAAGGAGGTACAATGTCTTATGGAGTAATGCGATCGGTTCAATCTGCATGTTTAGTTGGGAAGAAACAATAGCACTTTTGCTAGCAAGTCATGGCTTTGAAATTCCTTTGGGAGGATATCAAAAATTACTACTTCTATATAGACATTAAAATCTCCCTTTTTTGTAATTACAATATAGCTATCATTTTTCTCAATTGGAGAGCTTTTTATAAACCTCCTTCTATGGTATGTTTTTTACATATTAGATATCTCTCTTCCCAAAAAATTATAGGCTAAATGTTAATTTTTAAAAGTTTTTGTTATGCCAAATTGAACATTTAACTTGAATATATGGTGTAATAAATTCTTCGAGGTTCAATTGGTTATTTTTAACCATTAAAATTTTTATTGTTTAAATTAGGTAACATTTGAACTTCCAACCTCAAAAAAATATACGTGTTTATCACTAATCTATGTTCTTGTTGACGTTCAAGACTTGAGATTTTCTCTTTCCAAATCATCAGGTGAGATTTTTTTTTTTCTTCTCAGGACAATTATAAGATAATATAACATATACTTATAATTCTTTATTTTTGTAGAATCTCTCACATGTAATTTTATGCATCCTATATGGACATCTCAGATGAGCTCCACGTGGCAAAACAAGATTGAAGTGTTATATGTTTGAAATAGTTTTCGTTGGTGGTGGGTAGTGTATTAAGAGGTGGAATCTCACTCATTTGTGGTCCTTCTATTTTCATTAATTGCCAAATGTTATTAATTAAAAAAATTAACTTTATTGGATATAATAATTGTAATCTTTTTAGGGATTATTTTTGGTAATCAACCTTCTCGAATTTCTTAGAATTATTTACAAATTTTAGAAAAATATATATATATTTATAGTAATCATAATTTATTTTTCTTATTTAAAAATAAAAAATAAGAATGACAAACAAAAATGTTATCGAATATGTTGGGAAATTAATGGTCTTGTATAATTTCTCCTACCACCAAAAATATCCAAACACAACAACAAATAGGAAGAAAAACGGTAAAGAATAAGAAAACGACACAGAAAATTACTAATGACTATGTCTAATCTTCCACTCAGATGTGGGGTAATTCACTAATAATGTTAGGATTTGAATACAAAGCTCTCCCAAAACATCTTTGTTTCATTAATAAACTATATATGACATTACCAGTCGGCCTCGTTTGACAATAGTTTTCATTTTTAGTTTTATGCTTCTAAAGTTATATGTTTGCTTCCTCCTCACAATTTCTTTAACATAATTATTAACCTTTCTTATACATACGTTTGAATTCTTACTAAATTTCAAAAAAAAAAATTAAAACTAATTTTTTCCCAAAAGATTTTGAAATTGTTTGTAAAAAATATAGAAAGAAAGATAAAGAAACACATAGGTATCAGAAATAGAAACAACAAATAAATTAGTTATCCAATGGGGCGTTAAAGGTACAAATTACATAATAATCAAATTGATGCATTGTCATTAATAACTTGACATGGTATTAATTATAAAAATTATCGACTAAGACTATGGCTTAATAAATACTTAAAATTGTTACGGTCAACTTGCATTATATATGTGTGTATATATACTATTATTGAATAAAAAAAATTAGTACGGACATAAAGAATTTAAACTTCCAATCTTAAAAATTAATAATAATTAATAATAATAATGTCATTTACAATTAAGCTACGCTTATATTTGATCATTAAAAATGTTAACTTTTTTTCTTTTTTTTTTTTGACAATCATTAAAAAATGTTACTACTAGTATTACATTATAAAAGTCTTCTACATCATTTTTTAAATGCCCACTTTTGAATTTAATCCAAATCAAAGTCTAAAAAACTTCTATAATTGCTGTTATAATTATTTTGATCTCTAAACTTTAAAAATGTCTACTTTAATATCAGAATTTTAGAAAAGTTACCATTTTGCCGTTAGAATATTATTTTGTCACATAATATTTATGCATGTCCATTAATACTCATCTCCAACATATGTGATTTGAAGACATGCTCACTTTAATATATATACTCAAAGTTTTATTATCGATTTGTTAAAATCAAAATAAAGGTGAGGATCAAAATAATAATTTTTCTAAAATTTATAGACTAAAATAGACATTTTTAGGATAATTTGTTTTATGGGAATCCAAGATTTTCATGAATCGGATATCTAGATTCCTACAATTGTTTTATAGGGATGTAGGATATCGAATATCTCAAGATGGCAGGTATCTTAGGGATGCCCATACGGTAATTGACGTATAGGTTGTTTCGGATGCCCTTTTGCAATAGATTTCTAAAATTCCATGTTGAGGGCATCCCCATTTTACACTTGTGCCCTTCATTCTATTTTTATATATTTTCTAGAAATTTTCTTTGTTTTTTATTATCTAATGTTATAATTAAAATAAATTAATATACTATAATGAATAACTCTATGCAATTAAGTAGATTTATATATTACATTTATATGTAAAACTAAACTTCCATGTAATATCTCCACTTATTTGCTCAGACTCTCTTGAAAATTATATTAATTATATATGTTTAAAAAACTCCACAGAAACCAATATTGTTTCCCTTCTTTTTTTTTTTTTTTTGCTGATTTGATAATGTAAAAATATAATCCAATAAAAAATGTCATCATTTATATAATTTTATTTTGAGAAAAAAAGTCAAATCAATATAAATTAATGTGTTCTCCAAAATAATATTAAAATTTAATATAAATTAAATTGAAAAAAATAAATAAACCATTAAATTAATAATTACATAGAAGTCCAGATATAAATTACATTAATATCAGTAAAGACTTTTTTTTTTATTCTCAAATACAACCCTACAAAACAAACATAGTTATTCAAATATTCTCATACATTATTATAATTTTTTATACAAAACAAATATGGTAATCTAAATATGTCAAATATCTATTTTCTTTTCTTTTTTTTTACTCAAGAATCGGTGGCCTTTATACCCCTATACCTGGGGTATGTTCAAACATCTATATTTCCAAACATCTAAAATTTCGAACATGTAAGGTTCCTGAAAATAAACCGCCTCTAAAAGTTAAGAGATTCAAAATGGAACAAGATTATTAAAAGTTTATGGATCAAATAGACATTTTAAAAGTTTAAGTATCAAAATGGAGGGAACTTAATTCACGACCAAAATGATATTTAAACTTTTAATAAACTATTCACGTAAGGTGATGTTCATCAATCAATACAAATGGTAAGGAAAATAGATTCATTTTAGGATATTAATTAAATACAAAGTCATCGATTTCAAAGAAACAACCTCTAAGGAATTGTCGCCTGTTTAGACCTGACTCAATTTATTAAGATATGTATCACCGACTCCACATATTATACTTAAAAATAATAAAAACAAAAAAATTAAAAAACCTCCAACAGAGTTACTAATATCAAAAGGAACATTGTCAAAGGGAACATAGTTCAACGATAAACGACATATATGTCCAACCAAGAGGTTGTAAATTAAAATATACCAATACTAAAAATTAAAGCATACAAATTAAATATAGGACATATATTTGTAGACACCATATCAATCAAAATCAACCACCACCACAGCCACCACAGCCTCCACCACCGCAACCTCCGCCGCAGCCACCACCGCCACCATCTCTTTTCTTTTGAAGATCGTTACTAGAGTCACCGCAAGCAAATATGATCATCGATATGAGAGAGATCGATAGAAGGACAATCGAAAGCAAAAATAATCCGCTAGAACTAACCAAGGTGACATCTCCAAAGCCTCCATGGTAATCAGCTAGAATTGGCCTAGCCATTTTTCACTTAGCAAAATCTGTTGAATGATCATATATTTTCAACAACTTTGGTATTTATAATGACTGAAAGAATAATACTTCATGTCCTCATCGTTTGAAAGAATAATGTTATAGCAAATTAAAGGGTGAAGTTTCTGGGAAAATTAGTATGGATTAAATAATTGTATGTGTCACTCTTGGAGAACATTCAAATGTGGATTTTATGAGGAAATGTCAACTACCGCCCTTTAAAAAATGGTAACTTATGAAAGTGTCCATTTGACAACTTTTGAAGAGTAACATTTTGATCATTTAACTTCTAAAATGGCTTCCATGTCAATTTCTACCCACTCTTMTAGCATGCTAACACTTAAATAATTATGCAAATACCAAAATTGTTATTAGAAAGTTCTTCAAAGAGTAAAATAAAGATTTTAAGGATTAAAATAAAATAAATTTAAAAATTTTAGGGAGCAAAATAAAATTTAATTATTCATGTAGGACTGAATTTCGTTACATGGCATTGTTTTAAGAGAATAGAAGATTTAGACAAGTTACTCATGTCTTGACGCGGTAACCCAACTAAATTATTATCAATTAATCTATATATATATATATATATATATATATATATATATATATCAACTTGTCGAGTTATGAATATTTTTTTATTGGGCTTGACTTGCTAATCTTCTTTGATAATCGGCATTTGGCTTTTTTAATATTCTTTATTCATTGATCTTTGACTTGTTGATCTTTCTTGGTAATTGGCTTTGAGTTTATTGACCTTCTTTCGTGATCGGCATCGAACTTATTGATCTTCTTTGATGATCAATCTCTAACTTATTGATCTTTTGATCGGCCCTCTAATTTGATGATCTTGATTTATCTTTAGTTAGTGGATCTTCATCGACCTCTAGCTTGTTTTTCTATTGACCCTCTGACTTGATAATCTTGATTGGCCCCCTCTGACTTGATGATCTTGATCACATTTTGACTYGTTGATCTTGATCGCCTTCTAATTCATTAATCTTGATCGACCTCTAACCTGTTGATCTTAATCGAATGATAAATATTAGAGATTGTACAAACTCCAAATACTAATAAGAATTCTATTTAGTTCACGAATTAAATTTCTCTAAAAATCTTATATGAACAATCACTCATTATTTATCACTTAAAAGATATATCTATATATATATGAAATATATTTTAAAATAATCTATAGTTTTGACTTTGACTACTCAACAAATTTGAATATATGCAACATATTTATTATCCATTTTAAATATCAATAGTTGAATTACCTACATTATAATTATTAAATTAATTAACGACATAATATACCTTTCAGTCAATTATTCTCAGTTCAAAGAAATAATATAATTGAATTATAAAACAATTATCGCTCCAATCTAAAAGTATTAGTCTATTAGACATGCATGTAATATTTTTTATTTAATTTTTTTACGAACATCAATAAAAGACTAAAAAAATACTCCTATTTATTGGAAAAAAATAATAGCAAAAAACTTGTCTATAACTTTATAGACAATGACCGTAGCTAAAGTTTTCTAGTGAAATAATATTATATCGTGGAAGAAAACTTCACTTTGGTTATAAACGTTTTTTTAGTATTCCAAATTTGTTATTTACGAATATTTTGAAATTTAAATTTAATAACAAATATTTTGAAATTTAAATTTAATTAGAGTCCTATGACTAAAGATAAAATACTTAATAAAATGTGAAAGCATTCAACCTTTTTAAATTTTATACCTTTGTCAGTGGATATAAATTTTCTGAATATTTTCATTTATTCAGAGTTAGATATTTCAATTATTATATTTTACTTAATAAAAAATTTATTAAATTTTTGGTCTAATTTGTAGCATTATGAAGCTGCAACTCTTTTAAAAAATAGAAAATAGATACTCGTAGTTTCATATTTAAAGTTAATTGTACTTTTTTCTCAAGAAAAGAAAATTTGATTTTACTTATTTGAATTCTTATTTATTTATTTGTATATTTTGTTAATAAAAAAATACATTACTAAAATAATAATAATAAAGCAAGTTATAATATTCATTTTTCGTCTATTTTTAATTTCTTATATTAATTTTTTTGCAAAGGAAAAAAAGTTGTAAAAGAACTAGAGAGCATATCACTATCACTAGAAGGAGGGGTTGAACCTCCTTCTTATATTATATTAATTTTAATAAGTTATAATAAATTTCTAATTAATTAGAGAAATATACACTTTAAAATTTAAATTAAATATATTTTAATTTAGTTTCTAAGAATTTTTTTGTTTTAAAGAAAATATTTTTATACAGATTAAAGATTCTTTGCTCAATTTTTAATTTGATACCTATGTCATTTTCATTTTAAAAACTTAAAAATCAAGATAGTAGCATTATTTAATCCTATCGAATTGATGAGTTTAAAAATTCACTAATAATTAAATTTCAAAACTATAACCATGCATAAAATATTGTAGTAAAATTCTTATATGGTAACTCCTGATTGTTTAGTTAGACTGACGAAGGCCTCTTAAAAATCCTTAAAATTATACTAAAGGTAACATGTTATGCGTCACATAAAGAGAAAAATTTTTTTTTTTATATCCGTGAGTGTTCGGGCCAGCTTATGCGCACTTTGATTAATCTAAGTAGATGGCCACCGTGGGATTTGAACCCAAGTTTTCTCTATAAAGTACATTTTCTTCATTTTCTTCGAGAGATTTAGAATCTAAACGCTTCAAATCCAATCAGCCACTAAATGGAATAAGAATAAAGAACTTAATCCTATCCTATGTTTGGTGTTTAGATTTAGATTATTGTATTTGAAAATTATCATGTAATTTCTTGCCTATAAAATAGCAAAAGATGGAAAGGATAAAGAGATCAAAAGGCCATGAAATCTCAAGTGATAATGACTAAAAACAGTTGAAATGGAAACCAAGAGCACCATGTATGGAATATATAAATGCATATTAATGCCAATAAACTTTTTACCCANAAGCCATGATAATCCCTTGGAAATTTTTTGTGCCAAGTGGAAAATAAAGAAGCAAAAAGTTGCTTTATGAATAATTTGGTGGACCAAAATTTTAAAAATGGTTACTTCTGTTTGAAATTGTTCAAATGACGTCATTCATGACCTCATCCTGTCTGCACAATTGGTGGTTTTGGCTGTTTAATCTTTTTCATTGTTTATCGAACCATTACTTCCTTTTTCATAATTAAAGTTAAATAGTAGAGACAGATGATGGAGGTTGATGAATTTGAGCCATGTGTTTGAAGTGAGTTTAAATTTTAGGTTTAAATATTATTTCGATGATTTTCCTTTCGATCCATCAATCTTATCTACTTTTAAAATGTTCATTTTAATCTGTGTAAACGTTTGTTTATTTTACTCTATATATTTTTAAAACTTGTACTTAAAAAGTGGTCATTTTGGTCTGATCAACATGCAAATATTAACACAAATTTTAAAACAAAATTCGTTTGTACAAATTTATGACTGTATTTCAAAAATTTAGTGAATTGAAGTGTTAGGTTAAAGGTTTCGTCCAAATAAAAATAAAATGGTCACTTTTCAAAAATGTAGGAACCAAAAGGAACTTTTCAAATAGTACAAATACTAAAATTAACAAAAATTGAAAATATAAGAATCAAGATGAATATTTTGAAAGTACAGACACCAAAATGAATCAAAATAAAAAATACAAGAGATCAAAATAGTATTTTAACTTAGATTTTATTTTAGCCACTCTCAAGCGTTTTGTTTTAGTATTTAAATTCTACACCAAATACTATCTTAGTCCTTGCTGTTAATTTTTCATGGCTTATTTTAACTAAAAATTTATTTCAGTCTTTTATTTATTTATTTATATGGTGAGTAGATGACTATGCGGACAAGTATTTAAAGTCAAATGTTACGAGAGTTGTGAGTTGGATTTCAAAATTATAATTAAATAATTAAGAAAAAAGAAACTAATGATAAAGGTTTAAATAGTTTTCTATACAAGTCTAGTAAAAAATAAAACAATATTGAAAATTTTAAGGATTAAAATAAAATACTTGAAAAATCTCCTCATACTTGCAACTATCTCCTATTGAGTTCTTTGTAACTTTTGAAATGAAAATTTCAATCTTAAACTCTTATCTAATTTTAATTTTGCTCGATGATTTTTTTTTTTTTTTTTATAGAAGATCGATGAATTTTTTAAATTTAAGTCCTTCAACTTCAAATATGTTCAAGAATGCTTTTATAAGAAGTGTTCTTATCAAAACTACTTCTACAATAATATTATATTTTATTATGTGGCTTTAATACTTTTAGAGTATTTTGTATGAATCAGTAAATGAGAGTTAAATTGCTTGAAATAATACATGAAACTTTAATTATGATTTAATTAGACTATAATATATTATTTTCAATAACCATACATGATTAAAAATATCGAAGTCAATATGTGACATAATTAATGATTTAAAAAAAAACTAAACAATTCCATAATATTAAAAATGTAAATATATTAATGTGTTCCATGATTTTATTTTTCATAATATATCAAATTTTAATATTAGTATATGAAAAAAGTTGGAAAATAATTAATGATAAACGGTTAAAATAGTTTCCTATACAATGTCAACAGTATTGTTGATGTCGATTCCTGAGCAAGCGTCATATAGGTATCACGGGAGGTGCCTCATATGTCTTCATCTCCAAGCTCTAAGTTACCTACACACATAAATCTAGTACAGCTGTGGTGCTCTACTTAAGAGTATGGATCAAGTAGAGTAGAAGGATAGTAATATCGTGAGTGAGAATCTACTAGAGAATATGTGTTGAATTCTCACAATGAGTTATGTAGGAAAAATCAATTTCTTATTAGGATTTCTCTTCCCTTTATATATGGAAGGAGAGAGTGGTTCTGAGGGYGCAAGGCAGACACGGAGGTCTCCTTCCCTCTGTGCACTGTAGGGGTTGAAGTGACGTCTTGACGAATGGATTGTCCAAGTACGTTCRGCCTCTCAAATCGATGCACTCAGAATTGGGTCCAATGCGCTGGCCCTTTGCCCGATTTTCACTAACCGAGTTCACATGGCCTTGAATAGAACTAAGACATATGGCATCTTAGGTTTACTCGTTAATAATGGCTCTACTTCTTCCACTGGGGCCTCTTCTCGCGCTCTTACGGTTCCATTAGGACGCTTGCTCACATCTTACTTCTCAAGTAGACACGTACTGATTCTCGTCTTCAAAGACATTTTGTACCCACTTAATAGGATTTAAAACTTTTACCCATTTAATTGAGGGTTATTTTCTCAGTATTAGTTATTAACAACCAATTGTACTAAAAAAAGTTTAATAACAAATTGTAGTCTTGTAATGAAAGTGTCTATTTAATACTTTGAAATTTCAAAAATAACACTTTCGATGCCGAAAGTGTGAGATATTGTCTAAATGATCCTTGACCACCTTTTTCTTTTCCTTTTTGCAATAAAGCAAAGGCTTAATTAGAAGTTAAAAGTTTTGAATTGAAGTTCTAAAAAATTGAGGAATACAATAAGTTTGACAATCAAATATACACGACTATCGAAGTTAATAACCAAAATATATGAATACTTTTCAAAAAAAAAAACCAAAATATATGAATGTTTAGGCATCAAAATAGTTTTAGACGTTTGATTCTGTTCCATACTATTCCATCAAGGTTTTTTGCAAGCAAGTTTTGACCAACTGAATCAACTACAGCTAATAGGTTCCAAGGTGAATATAAATCGCCATAACGATCCTATACACAAAAAAGAAATCGAGTAAATATACATATAATACATCTTAAGCATGCATAACAGGTTTCACACTGCATTTTCAACGAGATGGAAAGCTTATTGCCATCGGTTCATATTCATTGCACGTTCCCAAGAATGTAGGAGACACCGAGCAAATGAACAGCAGAAATGTAGTACATCTTCACCTGTAAGAGTTAGATACATCACATTGAAGTACTCACAGGAAAATATAGAACTTGTGTGCATATAGTTTCTTYATTATGCCAGTGGAAGCTAGTAAATAAACACAGGTGATTTCAATAATTACAGTTTTAAAGAAGTTGTGAGGAGCTTATTGTATCTTTGATCTCTTTTTTTTTAGGAGAACGAACTTTTCATTAATGAATGAAAAGGAAGAGCAGATGTTCAAGTATCCAAACTCCCAAAAAGAGTGGAAAAARCAGGGAAAACACAAAATAGTAAAGGTTCCCACAAATAGGATGCGCCAAAATACATCATTGATGAGCAAGACACCCAATGGAGAACTCAAAATCAAAACTACAAAATAGTTATTTCTTCTGGTAAAAATGCTTCGGTCTTAAATCTTCCTCCCAAACTTCTAAAACCAACAACTCTTCTTTCATACAAATTTGAAAAATTCAAGCAAAACTCACGGCCAAATGTCATTCCAAAAAGATGTCGCCATACATCATTATCAACCCTTAATTGGAGAAAACCTCTCAAAAGAAGTTTGAACTTAATATTGTTCCACCAAGGGCTTTCTCAAACTTCGTGTCTTCTTTAGCTTTGTGAACTATCCAAACTTTTCCTTTTCACATATGCTAACCACCACTTTATACTAGCTTATTTTGTTCGTTCAGGAAACTCCATAACCATTTAATCATTAAAGCTTCCCTCCTACTTAAGTTACCAACCCCTCAAAAATCTTCCTTGCAGTTTCTTGCATACTTCCTCAGCAACTAGATATAGACATATGGTATACAACGTATGTCCTAGGGTGGGGTTTGCTTTCTAGTCGRCCAAAGTCAGAAGATTAACGTTTTAAGACAAAATATCGGAAATGATAAATACTTGGCATCGGCTACACGTCATATATCTCGCCTATTAACATTTTGATGAACCTATATTTGGTAAGATGCTAAAGTCTCCTACTTTTAAGTTTTTAATTTTTSTATTTCAATACTTATCCAATCGACCTGTAATTTCTCCTTTAAATCTATTTGTTTCCTCCTGAGTAGAAGAACAATTAATAATAAATTTAGTCCTCAAACTTTAATATTTGATCCTTGAACTTTTTTTTATTGTGTTGGGTCCTTTTAACTTTCAATTTTTATTCTAACAAGGATATGCCATTAATGCTGCTATTTAAATGTTGACATAGTTGATTGGACTAATAAATAATGATTTGGCATGACATAACAATAGGCGATACATGCCAGTAGGCCAACTAGATAAAATACGAGCRAGCATACCAAAAATTTGATGGTACAAGCATGTTAAATACATTACGCATCAATTATTTTTGCCTATCCATCCTTGCTAACCTACCACTTGTGTCACTCGTTGCCACATTATACCAAAATCATCCCTTGCTAGTCTAGTCGACCTACCAAAATTATCACTTGCTAATCCAATCAACATGTCATATCAGCATTTAAGAAATGACGTTAATGGCAAGAACTTACTAGTATCAAAATTGAAAGTTTAATTTAAGGACCTAACTAAAATTTTTTAAAGTTCAAAAACTAAATAGACACGACCATCAGGATATGTGATTTGGCTTAGGTATGGGTGGAGTTTTTTTAGAATAGAAACAGAATTTTTCGTGGATGAAATGTAAATTGCAAAGGAGTATCAAGAACATGCAAAATTGAGACAAAACTGAAGAACAAAATTCTGGACCCAAACTGAAGGAGCAGACTACATAAAACTGAAAACCTCAGCAACTCTAGACAAAAATCAAGAAAAAAGACTAGGACTAGCTTGATGGCAGAATCTTCACTTTACAAAAGGAACTTTCTGGTTGTATTTTGTTGGCAGCAAAACTAAAGACTGCAGAAAACTTGAATATGTGTATGAAGGAACCACCAACTAGGCATAGGATTTGGAAGACTGATCCAACAAAATCTTCAATTCACAATGGTTTTTCATCTATGATTAAGGTAACATCAGTAAGCTGCTATGTGGACCTCTTTTGCAACCTAGAGCTCAATTGAGTTAGGTTAATGCTATCAATTCATTTATGAGGTTTGATTTGAAAGGAATTAGAGRATTTTTTAAGATAAGCTTTCAGCTCGGCGGGATCAGTTGGATCTAGTCAACATTAAATCTTCTTATTGGTATTGTTTTTCCCTTTATTTGCTAATTATTCTTACAATGACACTTGTACAAATTTTGGGGCATTTATTTCCCCTCTCTAGATGTTGGTTTGTTATTTTCATCCCCAAAGTTTGAATCTTGAACTTTTTTCTCCTTTTTATTAAGTAATAAAAAGTTCATTTCTTGAAGAAAAAAAACCAAAAAGAAATTAAACTTTGGAAATTACCTTAAAATTACAGCTGCATTTCTCATGGCTAAATATCTCTGAACGTACTCATTAGGAAGAGACCTTATGACCTTGAAGACATCAGCATTTGCATATCGAAGAGTAGTCCTCGGATCGTAGTATGGTGCCTGAATAATAAGAATGTCACTAGCCGAAGAGAATAATAACAATTTTTYTTTTCTTTTTTTCCTTTTCTTTTTCTTCTTTTTTGTCTTTTTTTCCTCTTCTTTTTCTTCTTTTTTTTTCTTCCTTTTTAGTGTGTGTGCAACCAAACAATGAAAGAAAGGGAAGAAAATCTAATAAAAACACGCCAAGGCTCTTATTTTGTAGCTTACAGGGAAAGGGTTTCATCCACCCAACTATCTAGGCTGTTTTTCCTCTGTTTTGATTAGTATACCATGTCTCTGTTTTGTATTTAAAAAATAATTTAAAAGTAATAACACAGCCAAGGCTACATAAGCTCAAGGGAAAACATTAAATGGAACCAAATCTCATACCTCCTCCCAGGACACCTCTACACACTAACACCTACATGTTCCTTTCTAACTAGATGTTTAAGACTCCAACGGCTGGTTTTTTGTATGCCTTGTATTTTCTTTCGTGTTTCTCAAAACAAGAAGCAGAAGAGGTTTAGGACCAAAACTGCCAAGAATCCATTTGATGAAAAATGTAAGAATACAGAAGGGCATGCAAAAATACAGCCTAGCAAAGGAGCCAAACAAAAACAGGAAAGGGCTCCAACCTAATCAAACCTATAGAATAGTTACAAAAAGCTTTGGACACCAAGGTTGAAGGTCCAAATAGAAACATGAAACCGAGCAAGCTCCCACACCTCCAAGAATCCACTTGGAAAACATTTGGATTGAATGAGCCAGTAAGTTTTAGAATAGCCTTCCAAGGGGGCCATGATGAATGGCTAGTATCTATTTCTGACCAAAAACCTGTGGGTGAACAACTAATCAAGTTCCCATTGAAATAGGATCTACCYGCATAAGCATTTCCATGTTAGAGCTGCRTCAAACTTTGCTAGTACGTGGGGATACTTTTGTGAGAGAAGTGCTCYGAGATCCATATTTTGACTCCGCAACTCTCCACCATAAAGCATTCTTCTCCAATAAATATCTTCTCATCTCCAAATCCATTTTGCGATTGATTTTTTTTTTTTTTTTGAGAAACTGAGCTTTCATTTAGATAAATGAAATAATATACAAAGGGATACAAAAAAACCAACCTAATAAAAGGAAACCCACCAAGAAAGAGGCTCCAATACAAAAGAATAACACTTATCTGACAATTGTAAAAAAACCTTAGAAAATAACTCCCACGAGAAAGTATTAAATCTAATAAGCTCCCAAATATATGCAGCGTTCCTTGTTAAGACCCTTCAAGAATGATGAGTCGAATCTTCTTTCTCAATCCACCTCCTAATGCTGTAAGGCGTTGTCAGTACATCGTCCGTTCTATCTTTCTCTTTTGATTTAGTTTTAAGCAATATGACCTGATCCTAATTTTGACCAACCCTCTAACCCCTTACTTCCTACACTTAACAATCATTACACTTAACAATCATTGAAAAGTTGCTACAGCTTTGACAGTGATTCCTATCATCAATGATGTAACTATCATTGCTAAGGTTGTAGCCCTTCCTTGTGTTCTTGTTTCTTCCATTCCAAAGACTCCTCTTTCCTCGAATCGTTTTCAAAGACCCCTCTTTCCTCGAATCGTTTTGCAATGCTTGAATTCTGTAAGGTATCCTGCTTACTCAATGATATTCAAAATAAGTTCAAAATGCATCCAAGCAATACAAAGGTTCCTCGGCCTATTCGAGAGGGTAGAAGCTCTCCACGCTAGTCACTTCTAGACTTTTCACAAAACAAGACATAGCCATACTAACCTAGGCCAACTAACATATATCCCTCGTAGCCTAACAAGACAAACCTACGACAAGGACTCTAACTGTCAGAGGGTGGGGAATATCCCTCTTTAGCCTTTCTCACATGTGTATTCACAATCGAGAGCCTAAAATATATATATATATATATATAATATTTTTATAAGTTATAACTGAGAATCGAAGCTTTGCTCCCTTATACCCAAGGGCACCTGCGCCCCCTCCAAGGCCCAGACGAAGACATCAAAAAWTTTTTGTWTTATGAAGGTTCTAACTTGAGGCTTCTAAGCCAGTGTGATCAAGAGACCCCGTGCCTTTGCCAACCAGGCTGCCCCTTGAGCCTAAAATATTCATAATATCGCTCGTGCACATGCACACAAATTCAKAATTTTGTGCTTCAAAAACTCTATCAATTAGTGTTTCCTTGAACACCTTATTTTACTTGAATTTAAGATAACAGTTGGATCCACCCCTAAAATGGATTAGGTGTTAATTCCCAAAAAAAGGCCCTAAAGTGAAGAAAGACTCAACATTTTTTTTTTTTTTTAGAAAAGATACTTTATTGAAACTAACAGGTGTCTGAAAAGGAGACACCATTACAAGCAACCCTTCTTGACTCACAACCGAGCCAGATGGGAAAATTGGAAAACCACAAACCAGTCAACCCCGAAGAACAAGCAACCTGATGCGCAAGTGTGTTCCCCTCTCGACACACATGCATGAAGGTGATTTTGGAGAAATGCTTGGCCAAATCACGAATATCCTCAACCCAGATGCCCACCTCCAACCAACTTTCATTTTTCCCTTGAATCAAATCGATAGCTTGGAGACAATCCGATTCCAGGAGCACGAGGGGAACATTCATACGGACCGCAAGCCTGAGACACTCTCTAATCACCAAAAGCTCTGCTGAAAGGGGGGTATAGTCGATCTCAGTAAAAGACGCCATCACAGCTTTGCAGTCTCCGTCACTATTCCGGCAAATGACACCCGTCCCCGTGAGTTTCAATCTTGTGTTGTAGGCAGCATCAACATTAAATTTCATCCAAACCTCTCAGGGGGGCCTCCCACACAATCACTCAACATTAATTTGACTGAACTCTTCTCATTTGAACGAATGAGATCAATAGTACAATAGCGTAGCATATTAGCTAGCCCCTGGTCTAGTGTTCGCCGAAAGCCCCTTATGTCCTTGTCACCCCCTAGTTATCTCAAGCGGCAAGTATACTTCCACGTCCAATGCGTGGACAATTTTCTTTGAGCAAAGTCGAAATCTCCTTCTTTCCAACCTGGATCTCTCAACCCCTAAAGATTCTATTGTTTCTCTCAAACCAAATTTCCCATAAAATAGAGAAATAAACTTGCCACCAAAACCTTCTATTATCCTAAAAGGGAGGGAACGACAAAACCTCCTTCATCAAGCCCAACAGTCCTTATTACGAGCCAAAGACACCCAAAACAACTCAAAGAAACAACCTCAAATATCCTGCGCAAACTAACATCTCCACAGAATGTGGTCTAGATCTTCTTTGGCACTTCTGCAAAAAACACCAACGCGGCCTTAGAAAAGAAACTAAGGTTAAGAACGCAATCACTTGATAACATTCTCCTTTCTCCTTTCTTGTTTCTTGTTTCTTGTTTTTCATTTCTCGTTTCTCGTTTCTTATTTCTTCTTTTTCAAGAAAGAAAACAAAACTATGTTTGATGATTGTTTATTGTTTCTTTCTATTTTATTGAAGAAAAAAAAGAGCACGAGTATGTTTGGTAATCAAGTCTTGTTTCTTATTCTCTTAAATTTTAAATAATAAAAAATCGATAAATAATGATTTTATTAATGTTTTTTTTTAACTATAAGAAACAATAAACCATATTTTAATGTTTTAAAATTTGTATACAATTTTGAGAATGTTTCTAAAAAATGAGAAATGAGAAGTAGGAAACAATAATGGTGTTTTCAAAAACTGGGAACAAGAACCAATAAACGAGAAATAGGAACGTTACCAAACAACCCCTTCGATACTAACTACTTTAAACTAAGGAGACAACCTTTTCTAGTTCTTATCTCTATCATAACTAATAAGAGTCATTATTGTTAATTTCTTAAACACAAGGTCTCTTGTTTAGTTTCTAAAAGGAGAGTTCTATTTCTTAACAATACTATGGAAATAGATAAAGGAATTGATGTGGTTGGAACTAATAAGGCAACTTTTTCTTTTAATACAACAAATTGAGGGGATGGGGGTTTGAACTTCCGAACTCAGGAAAAGAGCAGGTGCCAGTTACCATTGAGCTATGCTCATGTTGGCAACTGATAAGACAGCCTAATGCACACAACAACTCTATGCATCACTTGTTCCGATCCATCATATCCTAGAGCAAACCCAAAAGGAATGAGCGATAAACAAACTGATTCCATAGTTATTGCTATTTTGATTTAGATATAAGCAATGCTGAGTATACAGTTATATACTACTAGAAATCACATACCTCATATCCAGTTATATCGCAAATCTTCTTGCATGGATGCATTGAGGGAGGTGATTCAATATTAACGTCTGAAAAACAAATAAGAGCCCAGGGTAGCATCTGTAAATTGTCTCCATTGAAAAAAATTTTTGTAATTTCTATTGGTTTGGGTGTATCTTCCCCTCTTGTAATTTCATCCCATCAATTAAATGTTTCTTATCCAAAATAAATAAATAAAAGGAGCAATCAAGTTTCAACTGACGGTACAAAACACAGAGGAGAAACTACGTGTGCATCCTTTAATGAAGAAAAAAAATTCCAGAACTCAACAGTATGTCCAAAGAGCACTTCAATACTTGCTAAACAACAAGTAGTTCAACCCGATTATCAGATATGGGTTAAAGCCACTGAGATTTGATTTCATGGGACAATATAGACCAGACTTAGAAAACAGAACAGCATATGTTCTTTTCAGATGCCCCCAGAGTGGCATGCAGCGTTCTAACCACACTCATCTCCTTTTTTTTTCTAATAAAAAACGAAGAATTGATAAACGTGAAAGAAAATACAAGGGCATAAGCCCTCAAAAGACCCAAACTAGCAATCGGACTCCAATCTAAAAGAATCAAACCTAACTCATAAAACTGTTGACTAATGGAAGCCCATAAATAGGTTTTTCTTTCTTATATCTGTGAGTGTTCCGGGGTAGCCGCGCACTTCGACTAATCTCATGATACAACCGCCTGACCCTAAAACGTCGAAAACACATAGAAAATTTCTAATTATTAAGGTAGGTGGCCATCATGGATTTGAACTCATTCTCTCTCAGTCTACCCACAGCTACATCCGCTGGTAACCCCCAAAGAGTAGGACAGGCAAAAGAAAACAAAAAACTGCCTATGCATCAAAACATAAAACAAAAAATAAATTTACCGACGAATTCCTTATCAAGTAAAAAGAGTAATCAGATCTCGGAGAAAATGTAAGTGACAAAATGATTCGAAATGAAAGAGGACAAATCTTACAGTTGGGTTCGTCAGGGGAGTGGTTGTGATAGTTTTCGGCTTGAAGAATTTGCTTCAGATGTTTCCAGTGCCTGCCTCTGGATTGGCCTTTTGGGTACTTCTCGTACATTTGAATTCGCTTGAAATTCAGGTGGGTTGGCAACACTAACTCTGCTTCTATCACCTCTGGCTCCATCTTCAACTTTTGCTAGTACCTACTGAAATGCCTTCTGATTTCTAAAAAAATTGACATTCAACGGTTCAATGAATTTAACGAAGCTGAACACTACAGAAGAAGAAACCCTAATAATGCTGAAAAATCTCCGGCTTGCAATAAACAGGGGGACCGTGAGAGAACTGGAGAAAAGCAATCTCCGATTCTATTTAGCGGGTAAAGATATTCAGGTTTTTTTTTTCCTTAAGTATGATATTCAGGAGTTTGTTTTAGTTTAATGGAATTTAATGAATATTAAAACTAAACTTCCAAAAGGATGATTAATGTCCTCGACAGTTGATTATAAAAAATTTAAAAAAATAATAATAAACCACAAATATTATCCCATAGTTTGGGTTAGGGCTGGACATCGATTGATCGGGACAACTTTCTGGCTCAAACCGACACCAACCTACTATCTTCAGACCCTTTTTGTCAAGATGGTTGATCGATTTTTGACAAACTAATATATATATTACCTTACAATTGTAAATGGATTTGAGCGACAACGGCGAGGTTTTTTCCACCACCAACCAACCAACAGTTTGAAAAATTCCTAAACGAATTATTGACCGACTAGGAGTAAAAACCGACCAACTTCAGTCCAGAGCGTTTTCAGTTGATCGGATCAATTTTTCAATCTCTTATGTACACTCCTAACATGGATGTAGTTTCAACATTTTTTTTAATTTACAGTTGTATAGATACAAAAGTTGAAAATTTTCTTTAATTACCATAAATGAAATTTGAAATCCCAACCTTTAATGGGAGGGAGATAGAATACTTTAGTTTTATATTTAATAAATCTATCTGTTTAAAAAATTGTAAATAAATCATAACTTTACTTAACACATAATTGTAAATAATGAAGTAACTTGGTAAACAATTACTTTTACTAGAAAATCACTTTTACATTTTAGTTGACATCTAAAGTGGTTCAAAAGATAGAAATTATTTGATATTTTATTTTAATTTAAAATTCGACAACTTTTAATAAAATTTCAATTTAGTAACCTACAGATTTTTTTTAGATGTTTCAAAATGAGAAGTGTAATTATTTACAACCTCTTTAATGTCAGAATCCGAGACCTCTGATGTGTCATCGTTAAACTAAGTCTTAAGCTAGTTGGAGAGGTGATATTAAGTCTTAAGCTGGTTTGAGTGGTGATCTTAAATCGATACATATACACTTACGTACTCGCAAATCAAATTTCTTTCTCTTTTTTCACAAACATAGATGTTTACCTCAACTATACAGATAAAGTTGGAATTCACACCATTTTAGTTAGAGATAAGTATTCGAACCCACTTGTCCATGATGATTATCATTTGCAATTCTATTCTTATAACTATATATAAATTTAAAAAATTGAACCAATAAATTTGTCAAAGTCTACTACTCCTTTTTCCTCTCTTATTCCCTTCATTAGTTGGTGGGCGGGCGAGCCCATAACGCCTTCAACGTTTACTCTTGACTAGGGTTTTAGCAGCTGTGCAACAACGGGAGAGCACGAACAAATTTCGAGCCCTGTTCCATAAATCCATCAAAATTTCCATTTCTTGTTTCAGCCAACAATGGATGTCGATTCTGATGTCCGCAATGTCAGTACCCAACCATCTGATGATGCCGACTGCAAGCCTATGGAGGCTGAAGATTCAAACGTATGTAAACTACCCATGATTCCTTGGTTATAATCTTACTTTCCCTTGTTTTACTGCTGGAAATATTTACTTCACTTTTGTTTGGGGTGTGTAAGTAAGTGGGAAGAAGTTTCTTGTTTGGTCCGTTTTGTATTTTAATCGCTTGGTTATGAGATTTAAGGAGAATGTTGGTTTTTGCTTTCTGTGCATGTGTGTGTGCGTGTTTCGGTCACATTTCAACCGCCTTGTTTTTATAATTTGTTAAGATATTGTCTTGATTTGTTGTCTTTTGGGTGTTTGATTTTAAGGAGAAGGGAAAGGCAAAAGAGGAGCTTGCTGATTCGATTAAGAATTTAATCATCGAAGAATCATCTAGGCATGCGGGGTCTTCAGCCACGAACTTCAAGCGAAAACCAGTTATTGTTATTGTCATAGGAATGGCAGGTAATTTTCAATGAAAATTATTGTCTCTGTTGGAGTTCACGGATGCATGTTAAATCTTTTAACTTAAATTATGGTTTTCAAGACCCATGGTTTATGTATTGGTGTCTGTCAGTTCAAAAAAGTAAAATGAAAAAAATCCCCTTTTACCAGAGGGGCAGACTCGCGTGCCTACCTACATTCCTTTGGTTTTTAGAATCCCATGAAGGGTGGCCAAGACCATGGAAAAGCTGTTCAATAAATTTTTCTAGGATCAAACTGAGGAGGTTCTTCCTGGTGAGTGGGGTTTTGTCAACCTTCCCAAGGAGCTTAGAACCTAGAGGCTCGGGCATAGGAAATTTGAGAGAGGAAATATCCCCTCCTATCTGAATGGATGTGGAGGTTCCATCAGGAATGGGGGATTCGGTATAAGATCCTGGTAAATAAATATGGTCAATCTCTAGGGAATGAGGCTGATTTTTGTTTGTGATTCAGAAAGCAATATGTATGATTTTTTTGGAAACCATTTCCTAAAACAAGTTTCCCAAGGAACCCAATAATTCCTATGATTTTACTGTCTATTGATTGGCTATCATGGTTAGCCTTTGGATGATTTTGATAGGAAAGAAATAATGAAATATAATAGGAGAATCTTCGGAAGGTGTATAGGGACTGTATTGTTGGGTAAGGGAATACTGTGTTTGGTCTCCTGTGTTCTTAGTTGGATTTTTTGTAGTTATGATTTATTGGTGCCAATTGACAGATTTATGTATAATTCCTTTGTCTTTTACAGGCTCCTACCAGCCATGTTCRTTTCATTTTTCTGAATGAAATTCTATCTGTTTCTTGTAATAATGTGGGTTTTTTCAGGGAGTGGAAAGACAACTTTTCTTCATCGTCTGGTGTGCGACACACATGCATCAAATATCAGAGGTTATGTAATGAACCTTGATCCTGCTGTTATGACCCTCCCTTTTGGTGCAAATATTGATATAAGGGATACTGTACGGTACAAGGAAGTGATGAAGCAATTCAATCTTGGGCCTAATGGTGGAATTTTGACGTCTCTTAACTTGTTTGCTACCAAATTTGATGAGGTGAAATTTTCATATCTTTCTTAAGTTATGTTATCTCTAACATCACAGCCCATCAAAATTGCAAACGTAGCCAGTTTTCCCTCCCCTCCTATGATTTCTCGATGATTTTGTGAGTTTGTGATGTTAATTATTTTTCATTATATTTTTTTTTCTTGAACTGTAAAAGAAGATTCCATGCTTTGTTARGTTCGAATTGTGAGGGAACAAGTCCAAACCCTATGGCCCCTACTTTAGGAATTAATTCCTATATATTTTCCACCACCAAATCTTTTAGGGTCAGGCGGCTACCCYTGAGAATAGTTGAGGTACGCGTAAGCTGGCCTGAGCACTCACGGATATCAAAAAAATAAAATTCTTTGTTAAGTTCATGAACCGTTCTTACTGGAAAAAAACAGGTTCATGGATTAATGCTTGTTTCTGTCTTTATGCTGTGTTTTTTCTCATATCATGTGCACTTGTTGATATTGATGCGTATTTCCAATATTGTTTTTCTTCTAAACTTGTACTTATCTCACACACCCTCCTGAATTATCCTATTGAAATTTTTTGTTGAACTGTGCAATCTCAGGTAATATCAGTGATTGAAAAGCGAGCGGATCAGCTTGATTATGTCCTTGTTGATACTCCTGGTCAAATTGAGATATTCACATGGTCTGCATCTGGGGCCATCATCACTGAGGCTTTTGCTTCGACCTTCCCCACTGTAATCGCTTATGTTGTCGATACACCTCGTTCAGCTAATCCAGTCACCTTCATGAGCAACATGCTTTACGCCTGTTCTATCCTCTACAAGACGAGGTTGCCACTTGTATTGGTATTCAATAAAACCGATGTGGCAAAACATGAGTTTGCTTTGGAGGTAATTCGCTYGTGTAGATATGTCCTTGTGATATTTTTAATAATTGAGTGGAATTCCTCATGGTAAGGGCTTACCCTCATAGGTCCTATGTTTAAGTCCCGAGGTAGAAACTTAATAATTTAGAACTCTTATTTTTCTATCGTGGCTTTCCTAATGATTAGTGGGGTAGACCGTCAATATAATGTAAGGACTGGGCCTTGATATTTTGGTTATCTCAGAAAAAGTAAACTTTGTAAAATAATAGAGTTTCCATGGAAGATTTAGACCTTTTCTTGGTAACATGGTTATTTTCCACAGATATCTTCTCTCACATGGACCTCTATATTCTCTTTTTCGATTATCAAATATATTACAATTCTTGATAATTTTAAAATGTTAAAGGATAATTATTCCTGCAGTGGATGGAAGATTTCGAAGCCTTTCAAGCTGCAGTCAGTTCGGATAGTTCTTATACGTCCACATTAAGTCAGAGTCTTTCCCTTGTGCTGGATGAGTTCTATAAGAACTTAAAATCTGTTGGAGTTTCTGCAGTTTCCGGCTCCGGAGTGGATTYTTTCTTTAAAGCGATCGATTCTAGCGCTGAGGAGTACATGGAAAATTATAAGTAATGATGACTGACTAAAGCTTTGAATCTATTAGATAGCGAKAACAATTGTGCGAGTTCGGAAGTTACTACAATTTTGATGCTTATGCTGCATTTGGCCATTTTTCAGGGCGGAGCTTGATAAGAGAATAGCTGAGAAGCAACGGTTGGAGGAAGAACGCAGGCGGGAAAACATGGAGAAGTTGAGAAAAGATATGGAGAGCTCCAAGGGACAAACCGTGGTTTTGAGCACTGGTTTGAAGGATAAATCTGACAAGAGCAAAACTAAGATGGTCGAGGAAGATGAAGATATCGRCGAGGAAGACGAAGATGATGATTACGATAGATTTACCGAGGAGGAGGATGTCATTGATGAGGATGAAGATGAAGAGGTTGCCAGATTCACCTTCTAGGTAGCAGACATGGGACAAGTTTTAATGAAACTGTGTATATGTTTTACGTAGAACTCGAGTCACCCCGATTTTCTCCGAACACGAAAATTTGTCGTGTTTCTCTTACATCGTGACAAACCTGGATGCTCTTGTAATGTTTTGATTGTGATGATGATCCTTGTCATCTGTTAGAGCTTTGGTTTGAGCTGGGTTTCTAACGTTGTACAATTATGATGCCAAATAGAAATCAAATGTTGAGATGATGACACGATTTTTATGAATTCGCCAAAGGTTTCGTATACTGAATTTTCAAATATTTATTGTCCTAGTCTATATTATTAAATGTTTATGRTTTAGTTTTTTTAACTTCTTTTTTTGTTATAAGTCTTTAAACTTTGAAATAAAAATTGTTCTAGTAGTTATTGTTTATTTCCCGTTAATTATCTAAATAACCCCCATTTTCATTTAATAACCTGATGTGTAGCATACCACTCGTTTTGAAAAAAAAATATTAAGTATGATTGATTTTTCAAAATTACCATGCCAGACATGTCTCTGGCTTATTAGATATTTCTATAAATTATCAGATCCATTAAATKGATCAATATTCGATTAGACACACTATTCAATATTGCGTCTAATAAATATTTGAATTTTAAAAATATTTGTATAAATTTTATTACATATTTTTTTKAATTTCAAAGACCTATTAGATATTACCTTAAAATTTATGGACTAAACTTGTAATTTGACGTTTATTTTTTTTATAATCGTCTATCAATTGATCAAACTACAGTGATATTAATCGTTTAAAAGTCATTTTTAGGATAACCATCATTGTATTGTTTCTAATGGATGTAATTATTTTAGTCAAAATGAGTATAGCTTAGTGATATTAGCTTATATTTTCAAGCAATATGTTGTGAGTTCGATCCCCCACCTCACATGTTGAACTAAAAATATATATACTAAATACACTTCAAACTAGTAATTATTTCAAAAATGTTTGTAAAAATAAGTATTTTTTTAATTGTAAAAGCATCTTTTTAAGAAACTCTACTAGTTTTGAGATTTGTTTGAAGTATAATTTGAAAGATTGAAATGAACTCCCTTAAATTGAATTAGGAACTCTTTTGTTACGCGAATCTCTAATTTGCAAACATTAGAACTCCACATCAATTCAATTTCAACTCTATTGTATAAGTTAGACACACATTTTACTGAAGTTAAAAGCTTTTTTGACAAATAATAAGTTTATTGGTCCAATAGTTAAACATTTCACAAGATACGATGATCACTCCTACTCGAATGTTACCGAGAAATGATAAAAATTTCAAGAAACTCTTAGTTAAACTTGAAAGAAAAAGTTTAAAGACTAGAATTACTTTATGATGTGATGTTGAAACAATAGAATAGCAAGCTTTAGATAGCCTCTCAACTAAACCTAAATATCGTAAAGGACAAAGATTATATTCGAAAGTCTAGATTTGGAAAGCAATAAAATCGCATAAAATGTTTTAAATAAAATATGGATCACAATTGTATGTTAATATAAAATATGGATTTAAGCTCAAATAAAAAGGGAACATATCCATAGTTGGTATACAATGTTGGATGTTACCATCCTCGTACTTAAATAATCATATAATAAAAGCCAAAATGARCATARCTCAGTGGTAATTGACATATAATTTGAAAATGTTATTAATTATTTAGGGTCAAAAATAAAGAAATTGAAAAGTAGGTTAAAACTTAAAACCTTACAATTCATTTTATTTAGGCATAGGTGGATATAGATATCATGAACGCTAGGTGTAGGATACCAAACCAAGAAATTTGGGCAACCATTCCCTTATGTGCCGATCGTGCATCAACGGTTCCAATGCCCAGCTCCGCTATAGAAGCCTAACTTGATTTGAGAAGTGCTAATTTGGTTCGTATCAATTTTTTTGTTTGTTCAAGAATATAATAAGTTTTGTTTGAGAGCGAGTATATATATTTTGAACTTCTATCGAGATAACTAATAATTTGACGAGTCAATTCGAAAAAGATAAGACACCTATTACTATCTTCAAAGTGGATAATTGGACACCCTCTTAAAATAAGATTTATTTTTTATTTTTTTGAAACGACATTAAAATAAGACTTAAAAGTTAAAACTTATGTTATTAATTGTCTAAAAAAAAACTTATATTATTATTTTAATTTTTTAAAATATTAACAAATAATAAGAGCATTTGCCCCAAAAAGGCAAAAACCTCCCAGTACTCTTGCGACCTTTCGAAGTCTCAACTCCGTTGGTCTGAATTTCAACTCCTCTCTGCATCTTTTCTTCCAAATTTTCGGCGCAGAAGGAACTTGATTTCAACCAATGTTCCTTCGAAATCCATTCCCAAACTAAAGGAACTGAAATTGAATTGGGAAAGTAGACTCCACGTTCTTGCAATCCGTTTTTTTGAAGTTTAAACCTCTGGAAGCATCACTTCCCTTTCAAGTACTGCCGCCAAGCTTGGTTTAGACGTCATATCCTTTTATCTTACCAATTTTTTGGTTTTGATTTCATTTTGAGATGGAGGAAAAGAACGAGGAAGTGGAAGATGTAGGGAGTGCGTCTGGCGATTCTTTTATCGATGAATCAGAAGATGATGGGCCATCAACATCTGGTCAGGACGAGCAATTGCATCTCGAGGCAAGCCACATTAGCTTTTCAATTTGTATTTGGAAAGCTTTGGTTTCACTTGTTGCTTTACGTTGTGATAGTCAGGACTCAGTAGATACTTGGGTGTTAATATCTGTTTCAATTCTACTATCTGAAGTATGGTATGTTTGTTTTGCTTTTGTTCATTGAGCAGGAACCTTTGACTGAGCAAGAGATAGAGGATTTGGTGGCCGAGTTTTTGGAAGTTGAGAGTAAGGTAGCTTCCAGGACTGTAATTCTCAATGTTTTGTGATCGTAGTATGAATATTTAGCTTCTATATTTATAGAAGCCTCATTAAACTTACCTTCCGCTAATTTTATTCTATCACAATGAATCGATGATGGTGAAATGACTCTAGACTGTCTCCCCTACCCTTGTCTTTCCTAAGTGTACACTTATTAACATAATAATAAAGAAAAGGTAAAAGGGGGTCTCCTTGTCTTAAACCTTGCCATTAATGAAAAGTGAAAACTAAGAATTAAAATACAAATTAATGAAATAGGAAAGCATCCCAAGAGATAAAAATAGCATTAGAGGAGTAATCATTAAAGAGAGGTAGAATCGAGCACCAAAGAGATGCCTTGTACTTAGCTAGATCAAAACATTCGAACAAATCTCTTTTCTTTTTTTTGAATAGCCTTGGGTTTCTTTCGAACCAAAATTCGGAGAGCAGTGCTTTGACTACGTTGGACCAAAGTAGGTGAGCTTCTGGGGGGAGAAACGGCCCATATAGGAGCTGTTTCAAGTTCCCTGACGTTGAGTTTGTAAAAACCCCAACATAAATTGAAGAGGCAGAATAGTACTTCCCAACACTTAGCTGTAAAGGACATAGGAAGAGTAAATGAGCTTGACACTTGCTGCTTGATTAACATAGAACACAGATTGAGGGCTGAAGGAGCTTTGTTCGAGAGTAAGGGGCTTTTTTTTGAATAAGGCTCGCTCCCGGCGCTCACGTTTTTTGGCTTCCCTAAAATCTAATATTTGAAAGTTGGTAAAGACCCACCCCTTGTTTCAGTCAGAATGAGTCCCCGGGACCCCGGGACATTGGCTTCCGCCAACAGTGGACTATTAAGGATCGCATCCCGCGCATATTCTACATTATAGCCTGCAATTGATTCAGCTTCCATTTCTGGGAGATTAAACGAGCTCAAGGAAGAATCTTTTTTTTTTTTTTTTTTTGGGATAAGGACAAGAAAGGCATCTTCTTCTAAAATATATTTGTAGTATCTAAGTTTATGAGCGATTTGAATTATCCAAGTTCAAGGCCTCTCACGGGTGTTCCTTGTCTATACTCTTTGGCAACCATTATGTTTATGATATTTTTTATAATTAGGATGCATTTATTTTTTTTTTAGCAAGAAACAACCTCTCATTGACTAATGAAAAGGAAAGAAGTTCAAAGGATACAATCTCATAAGGGAGAGAAAAAGAAACTAGAGAACACAAAAAAGAAAGGGTAATACAACCCAAAGAACAAGAAATGATGCATTTATTTTTGCAAATTAGTTTCTATATGTTTTGTTCTTTCACTCCTTTTGGAGTTTGTTTCCTTGAACATTTATTGTATCTTTTTATTATTTCAATGAAGAGTTTGTTTCTTGTAAAAAAAAAAGAATATGAATTTTTCCCCGGACATTGTGATCGGTTTGAAAGGGACCCAGAAGATTGTTCAGACTGCTTTCTTCATGAAACTGTTAGATATTCGGGCTATTTCCATCAAGTCTTCATCAAAATTTTGGTTTTTATTTTTTATTTTTTTTATTAATTTATTAAGTGAACCATAAAGTCTCTATGTAATCTTCTAGTTTGTACTGCCACGTCTTGAGGCTGATCTTGTTTAAGTTGAAGGCGTCTGTTTGTTTTAGGTCTTTTGATCATTTAGTTGGGTCCGCTATCCATTTTTATCTTTAGTTGTTTTGCTGGTTTTTTCTTGTCCTTGTTGTTTTATTTTCATTTTATTATTTTTAAATATCTGTGAGTTTTAGGGTTAGCTTGCGTGCTTCTCACGAGACAACGTTGGACCCATGATATCGTTTCTACAATTTGAGTATAGTTTGGGGAAGATAATATCCAGGAAGGTTTGATAATATCAGGAGAGTCATCATCATCTATTATTCGGGTGCCCTTATGTTGCTAATATTTGGTCTAAACATCTACCAAACAAACCTCAATCCAGAAACAAGATCGGACGTTATTCCCGTTCGTAAACCCGAACCCACTGGAGGTCGACGAGTGTGGTCCGGCGGAAAAACATAAGTCATCCGTCTCGAAGGCGGCTATGCTAGTTGGTGCATCTTTGTCGGCTATGATCAGTAGAGGTTGAGGTGCCGTTCCACCCCCCGATACTCCTTGGAAGACATTAGCCGGCGAAAGGCGAGCTGTGCTACTAGCGCGCATTTGTTTTTCAGCTGGCTTCAAATCACAACTCCTAGGTCAATTAAGGATCAAATGTTGGAAGTGGAACTCCATCTCATTTATCAAGCTTTTCTCGAGACCTGTTGTTCGCCCATAAATAAATAAATAAATGTACCATAGTTCAGTATAAGTTGGTGGGTTCCAAAGAGTTGTAGCTTTGGAGGGCTCTTCTTTTAAAAGGCCGTTGAAAGTAGTGCGGTACAATATTGTGACAGCTCCCAATACTATATGAAGAGTGTGGTTCAAGAGGAACCATATAATCTTGGCGGAGTCTAACCTTGATGAATTTTGGGACCTAGTTATTTTGCTTCTACTTGGATTACTCTTCCCAAATATTTTTATAATTATGATCTTGTGCACATCTTTACCAATTAGGGATCCTTTTTTAAACCATTGATTATGGGGGATATCTCATTTTCCCTCATTTTTATGAGTTTTCTCTTCTCTTTAATATATATTTCGAAGTTTCTGATAAAAAACTATCTACGAATGTTCACTTATGCTTATGTTAGGCTGCAGAGGCTCAAGAAGCACTTGAAAAGGAGTCTCTTACCAAAGTGGAGAATGAAGTTAGAGGAGAACTGGCATTGACTCTTAATGGTGATGATGTTAGTTGTTGCCTTGTCTCTGTCCTTTCGAATTCTGTCATATTTGCCATCAATAATGTGCTTTCTTGTCTTACAGTTGGAAACAGCCGTTGCAAATGAAATGTCTATTTTTACAGAAGAGTGGGAAGGTGCGCTTGACGAGCTTGAGATCGAGAGTGCTCATTTGTTGGTATGCTTTTCTCTCCAACTTTCATCATATTTAACACCAAACAAATATTTTAATAACTGATTTTTTAAGGTTGTTCTAAGTTTAATCATAGCAGAGAGAGATTGTGCATCTGGTAGGACATGTTGGCACATTAAATGACTATTTTCTAGGCATAGACAGGCAATGAGATTAGTTTCTTGGTTGAGTTGTAACGTAAAATTTGATTATTAACCCACTATTATTTAGAAGGCTAAAATATACAAAATCGTCCTTAATCTTTTAGGTAATGCTCAATCTCGTCCTTAATCTTCTAAATTCTCAAAAGTCAAATCTACCTTTAATGTAATAAGTTTTCAACCATATCATTCCTTAGAAAATTTGTTAACAAAAAGTTGATGTATCACTAAAATATTGTAAGGTATCTCCCTTACAAGTGCTTGATATTTCAGAGCAAAGAGCCCTGGGCTTTACAAAAGTCTCCCCAACCAAACTGAGGGGGCCGGAACTCTCCCCACAAACATTTCCCAAACTAAAACAAAACATACCCTTACACAGAAAGGAACCAAAGCATATAAAGACCAACTAACTTGAAGGGGGAATTCCCTCCTTTACCCCTCCTGACATAAGTACTAACTATTAGGGTCTCACATTACCCCGAGGTACAAAAGCACCTTGTCCTCAAGGTGGAAGGGGGTAATTGCTATTGAAAGAGTGAATGTGTTTCCCATGTGGCCTCAAATTCGGGCGGCCCTTACTAGCATACTAGGAGCTCAGCGTCGTTGGTGTTTGTATTGTGGCGGAGGCCCATGATTTCCTAGAGGGTGGATATCCATTCAAAGGCATTAGAGGGATGGAGGGTGGGACTGAACGTCTGAACCAATGTAGCATCTCCAACGACTTGTTTGAGTTGAGAGACGTGAACACGTGACGGATAGTTGCTTCTTCTGGTAATTGCTGCTTGTATACCACGAAACCCATGCATTTTTAGAATTTGATAGGGCCAAAAAATTTTGGGGACAACTTTTTGTTTCACCGAATCTTCAAGTAGACCCAATCACACATGACCAATTCAACTTTTGAGCAGTACCGATTGGCAAACTTCTTCATGTGTGCTTTGGCAATGGTTAAATGTGCTTTGAAGATCGATAAGGCTTGGTCACGGTCAATTAGCTGCTAGTCTAAGGTGAAGTTGGTGGTACGTTGCTTACTGTAAAATAATAAGGGGGAGGAGGTCAACTGTAGACGGTGTGGAACGGGGTGGTGTCAATGGAGATGTTAAAGGTGGTATCATACCAACATTTTGCCCACGCCAGCCAAGCTCCCCTATGTTTGGGCCTTTCATTGCAGAAACACCTCAAGTAGGTTTCGACGTATTTATTGACGATCTCTATTTGACCGCCAGTTTGGGGATGGTATGGCGTGCTTTGACGTAAGTGTCCCTTGAAGCCGAAATATTTCATCAGTCCAAAAGTTGCCGATGAAAATCTTGTCACGGTCGGAGAAAATGGAGTGGGGAAACCCACGCAGACTCGCAATTTCTTTCACAAAAACGACAGTGATTGACTTGGTCGTGAATGGGTGTCAGAGGGGAATGAAGTGAGCATATCTGCTTAAACGATCAACTACCACAAAGATTGTGTTGTGCCTCTCAAAATGTGGTAAACCCTCCGCAAAATCCATGGTTATATTTTCTTAAACGTGGTTTGGCGCGGGGAGGGGTTGGAGAAGGTTCGCAGGGGAGGTAGCTAACTGTTTATTCCTTTGACACAGTGCAGTGATCCACATAGTTCTTCACGTCCCCGTTAATTCCAGCCCAATAGAGCTCATCGGTTAGGCGCTTGTACGTGCGAAGGAACCTCGAATGACTGCCCATGATAGAGTTGTGGTAGGTGTGCAGTATGACTGGAATCAATGAAGAGGATTTAGAGAGGACAAGACGATGTTTATATAGGAAGGTACTCTGATGAAATGTGTACTTTGAAACGTTGTCTGGGTCGTTTGTGAGGCATTAAATGATATGAGAGATACTCGTATATTAGGATACCTCTGTTTTCACCACTACCACATCCAAAATGGTTGGTACTGTTAAGGTGGCTAGATGAACTGTTGGCGGCATGTAGGAGAGAGCATCGACAACCTTATTCTCGAGTTTGCATCTGTATTTAATCTCAAAACCGTACCTAAGTAGCTTAGATATCCACTTCGATACTCCGGTTGGATGACATTTTATTCGAGTAGGTATTTCAAGGCATGCTGATTAGTGCGAACAAGGAGTTTCTAGCTCAGTAAGTACAATCTCCATCGATGCACGACCAAAATGATTGTCATCAGCTCCGACTCTTACATTGATTTGGTTCAGGTGTGATTCGATAAGGTTTGACTGAAGTAAGCGATCGACCTTTGCTGTTGGGAATTGTGATAACACTGATGCAACTCTTGTCTCAGAGATATTCGTCTCTAAACAAATGATATGCTGAAGTCAGGTAAAGCTAGCACTGGTAAGGTGACCATTGCGTGTTTCAAGCAATCAAATGCCTCCGTGGCTTGGTCCATCCAGTGAAAGGAGTTTTTCTCCAGTGAAAGGAGTTTTTCTTCAGTAGCTGTGTAAGAGGGGCAACGCTAGCATTGTCTTGTTGCAGGTGTCGCTCACCGCCAGTTATTGCTGTCATCGGATGTTTGCCTGCTTCACCAGTGGCCATCGTCTACTACTGCCACTGCCTTGCCAACTCGCACAACGTTGCCACCATATGGCGCACCATGTCGCCTGCCACCGGGCACCACCATCTACTTCGTGACTCATCGTTTGCCGCACACATTGTCTATCGTGTCTGCCACACGCCCATTAGAACATCAGATTCAGCTAGGGTTTGATATTGGGCTAAGTTTCTAATATTATTGGTGTACAATAAAGGTTAAGTTTGTTATTTGTCTAACCCCACCTTGAGGACAAAATGTTTTTGAAGGGCAGGGTTTGATATTGGGCTAAGTTTCTAATATTATTGGTGTACAATAAAGGTTAAGTTTGTTATTTGTCTAACCCCACCTTGAGGACAAAATGTTTTTGAAGGGCAGGGTGATGTGAGAGTCCTAATAGGGATAGTTTGAGAATAGTATTAGTATATTAGTTAAGGGCATTGTGGTAATTAGTTAGGGGAGAGTTGATTATAAATAGAGGAAGTAGGGAGAGAACGCGGTATTTTTGAGAATAGTTCAAGGTGAGGGACTTGGTATAGTTCTTAGGGGAGTATAGCCCTCTCAAAAGGCTGTTGATATTGTAAATTCTCTTCGATATTGCAATATAGTTGCATTGTTATTTTCTCGTAATCAGGATCCTTACAAAAACCTATTGCATATTAAATTTTTGAAATAAGAGGTGCCAACAATTCAATGTTTTCATCACATTTATGCTTTAGCTCGACTGCTCGAGCGGCGGTGCTCCATCAGCCACACACGGAGTGTGTTTGATTGGAATTCCGTCTCTCTACCTTAAATTCAATAGAATTTTCTTACAATTTCTCCATTTGAAGCGAATTTGCATCTGGCAGTCAACTTTCTCCACTTGTTGGAATTCGATGGATGGTAAATCAGAAAAATCTAGGGCTCTGATGAAGAATCTATCGGCATGTGATGTTGAAGCTCTCAGGAAATGCTTGCAGGAAAATAATGGAGATTGTATGAAGTGCGAGTCTCAAATACAGGCCTTCAATTCTTCTTGCTCCCTGAAGAAACCAAACTCATCTCTGCAATCTGGAAGGGACCTCCGACTAGTGTTTGATTTCTGTCGCTATTCTGTTTTGTTGTCAAATTCTAAAAGCCATTTATTCGAAATTGGTGCAACGGAGAAATTTGCTTAAATATTGTAATGGATCTGTTTATCTTCTGAGCTTCTTTTTAGGCAAGAGGTGCTGACAATTCAATGTATAAACACATCTGAAAAATAAATGGAGTTGATCTTCAATGTTTATGTAGCAAAGAACACAAATAGAAGGCTGGAAATAACAAGAGGACAGCTTATTTTGAAAGATTTCTGCAGTATTCATCCTTTGTTTATCAAGATTCACATAAGAATATTCACTCTTTTGGGACTTCTAGATTTCCAAATAGCAGAATATAAATCCTTAGGCATGGGCGAAGAAGATGAGAAATAATTAAGCATTAAGCAGACTGAGAATAATCCCGAAGGTGCTATCTTCCAATACTTCAAATATTCTCTTGGATATTATTTTAGTGACCGTAAAATGTTTAACAAAATATGCACATTTCCATCACTCTTATATAGATGTAATATAAATACAAAGGTTTTCTTGATAAAAAAATAAAAGCTCAAGGTGGTATATCTTCTTGTAGTCTTTGACAATATTACAGTTTTTATGATATTTTGGTCATCTTCGTCTAAATTTATAATATCTATACATTTGTGACATTCGTTATGAGTTGTGTGTATGATCCGGTGTGTTGCTTATGTGTTGTGATATTTTACTTCTATAAGTTATGGTCTTTTTTTTATCCAGGATGCTTTTATTTAATTACCTCTATGAATAGGAGCAACTTGATGGTGCTGGTATTGAGCTACCAAGTCTCTACAAGCTAATTGAAAGTCAGGCTTCTAATGGTTGCTATACTGAAGCTTGGAAAAAAAGGATACACTGGGTAGGCTCTCAGGTAACTGGTGATCTTCTTGCATCTGTATCTGACGCAGAGAAGACCCTCCAAACTCAAAGGCCCGTAAGGAGGTACTGCATGCCTTTATGATAATGTGAAGCTTGTAATACTGAAATTTTCATCTCACATATGTATATAATGTCTGCTTTGGGCTTAGACGACATGGTAAACTTTTGGAGGAGGGAGCAAGTGGATATCTACAGAAGAAATTTTCCGAGAGTGAGGGAATCGTAACAAAAAATTTGGAAGTTGATTGGAGTTCTCTTAATAAGGTTTTTTCGGAAGGTTCAAAGGACAATGACACATTGTTCGGTAGCAAGAACTGGGCTTCTGTGTACTTGGCCAGCACTCCGCAGCAAGCTGCAGAAATGGGACTCAAATTTCTGGGAGTTGATGAGGTGCGGTTTTTTTGTTACAGCTCAAGTGGGATATTTTGGAAATTGCAGTAAAAATAATCAGGACAGTTTTGTTGATTTCATGATCGATCTTCTAGCTCAGTCATTGCCCTGTTTCCCTTAATGCTTTTAGTATGATCTTCTTCTTTTTGTTATTATGTTAATGTGGGTGCTTTCCACTGTCCTTTCTAAGCAATTGTGGAAGTCTAGTAGAAATACTATAATTCATTGGTTTCTAGGACTTTGTATCTTCTGTTCCTCAGGCTCTCATGCAATTAATGAAACTTTTTGACCTTTTTCTTCTGTAAGTTTCTTTTTTTCCATTTAGAAATAATGAGAAACCAAGAAAATGGGCCGGGAGGCACTGTTTGGAATCAAATTCATACATGGCAGAATTAACGTATATAACAAGATTTGCTGTAGACATTTTAAAATATATCTAGGACAGTTTTTTTTGTGAGTATTGGCTTGTGTCAAAATACTGCCTCTATTTCTTTTTATTCTTCATTATGAACTGCCTAAGAATAGATTTCATATCTTTTTATTAGGTAGAGGAGATAGATGACGTCGATGGAAATTCTTGTGATCCATTTGTTGCAGCTGCCATTGCAAATGAAGAAGAATTGGATCTTTCCGAAGAACAAAAGAAAAAATTCAGAAAGGTAATTAAACTTTCCTGTTAAAGAAAATGTTGAAAATGGATGTCAAAGTTAGGGCATCTCTCCCATAAGTGTGAAGAAGAAGGGGAAAGACTTTGCCTCAAACCTCCCTTGGCAAAACTTTTGCCTCGGGTCTACTATTAATGATTACTAAAAAAATGGTTGCAGAAATGTACCCACACATTCACTTTCTCTGAGGACCAAAACTATTGCTTTCTTTTGTAACTACAGCGTTTCCATGTTGATGAACAATTAGAAAGCCTTCCTTTAGTTGCTCTTAGGTGTTTTCTCTACCCAGCCCCTAGTTTGCTGTTCTTTTGTTTATAACACTTTTTTCTCAGGTTTCTTATAAACAAAATAAAACTGCATCTAGATACGACCAATCTACTTTGTCATATGCCTTCTCTTAGTAGTTTTGGTGCTGTTTTTGCATTCTTTTGGTCTAGCTTCAGTGGCTCTTCGGTGTTGTGGATTTGCTTATGAGATTTTTGTGTTTGTTTCTCCATGGGGCGATTTGTTCTTCATTGTTTTATTTGGACTCTTGTATTTATGGTAGTTCCTTTCTTTTTTGGTTTGGTTGCTTGTTCTTTTCACTCTCACGGGAGTTTGTTGAACTTGTTCTTTCGTTTCATTTTATCAATGAAAAATCTGTTTCTTGTTTAAAAAAGTATTTTTTTTCTTCTTGGAATTCCATTACTTTAGCGCCTCAGAGGCTACCAAAATAATGTCCGACACCCTTCCACAAAAGTCGGCTGCACATCATCTGATATGAGGAAGAACACTTTTAAGCCGTTCAACTAGCACCTTGGTAATAATTTTGTACAACAAAGACACTAAACTGAATCATTTTTGGGCCCACATCTGTTGTTCTTTAACTCAACCTCTAAAATATCAACCTTCAACTTCAACAGGGATCTGGCTCTCTTCTAATCATCAACCCCAATTAGGATAAAAAATTACTTGGAAATACAACAATTAGGATAAAAAATCACTTGGAAAAGATGAGAGAATCTACTCATGGAAGAAGCCCGCCCATGCCAATTACTATGTTGAAAAGGAATCCCCATTGCCAACTTGGAAAGGCGACTTCTACTACTTCCACCTTTCATACTGATAATGTGCCACCCTAAAGATTCTAGACTGTGGATGGTAAGATATAACTTGAACGACCTTACTTCAATAGATCTGTTCGGCTGTACATCTGTGACCATGAGTTTTAGTTTTAAGGATGCTAGATATAACTTGATGCCACAGTGAATTGGGCTCAGGCCACCCAAATTTAGCTAATATTGCAATTTTATTTTTTATCTTTGAACCTCCAATACCTAAACCACTTTGATTTGGAGGCTTAGTAAATAAGTTCCAACGAATTAGATACATCATTTTGCCAATCCTCTTCTCCAAAAAAAGTTCCGCATTTGTTCAATTTCAAGGCCAATCTTTCTAGGCACAAGCAAGAGAGACATGAAATAAATAGGGTTGTTGGCCAAAATCGAAGTTGATAAAGTATGGCGCCCTCCTCTTGAGAGCTGATATTTCCTCCTCTTATCCAATTTTTTCAATATCCTTTCGACATGGGTTTCCAAATATCAACAGATTTGAGATTTCCACCAAGAGAAATGCCACTTTACAACGGGTCTTTTCAGCAAGTTCCAACTAGTCTTCTTTTTTTACATTTTATTGACATTAAAGTAGTTTCTTATACATGAAAAATATCTGCCCTGGTTGTCATAAAGTCTTAAGATGACAACAGTGTTTCTACATCTTCTATTTTTTTGTCTGTGATTCGACTTGTTCCACTTGGTCATGAAACATTAATAATTGTTGAGCATGCGAGAGAAGTAGATTTTACCACATTTTGGTATTTATTTTTTTTCTGGGACAAACGTCTCAACAGTTCAATTTACTGGTCTTGGGTGATTATATAGTTGCTTAGTCTTACTTTTTATGCTGTATTTGTTCCTCTACTCGGTGTGGTGGTAGGTGAGTTATGTTCTAGAATTTCTTTTTAAGTTCCCCCCCCCACCACCACTCTGAAAAGATCTTACAATTCCTATACTTTATTACCCTTTCGAGGTTGTAATTTACTTCTTGTCATTGTTTCTTTAAGGGCTTTTTAAGTTAGAGAATGTAATTAGTTTGCATTGACAGGTCAAAGAAGAAGATGATGCCATTTTTGATAGAAAACTCCAAATTCATTTGAAACAAAAACGATATCAGAAGAGATATAAACAGGTATATATATATATTTATTTTGGTTTGTTTTTCTTGTGTATTTCAGTTACCTTTGATATTTTGTACTTTTTTCTTTTGATTTTTTTTTCAAACATTTTATTTTATTTTATTTATGAGGGGTGAATTTTTGTTGTTTAGAACTAAGGAAAACTTATTACAATGAATTTGAGATGGTTCCAGTTTCATGACCAACAGAATAAAATACACTTCAACCTTTCAGATTCAATTATGATTTATGAGAAGGGAGGTCCAAAGTTCTTAATTCTCTCAGGAACATTATTCTTCGTTCTTCTGCTTCCTCCCTTGCCCTCTCTTCATCTCTTATTCTACTTCTCTTAGGAACACCTTTTGGAATTCTTGGACTACTGAGATTGAATACCTGTAAAGTTTTTCAAAATTTTTGACCTGCGTAGAGACATGGCATTCGTGGGTGTAGGGCAAATGATTGAGAATGTAACCAAAAATGGTGCTAACAAGTCAGGGCTAGGGAAAACTAAATGAAATCTCTTGGCTTTAGACCGTGAAATTGTAGTTTCACCAATGTTTTTTTGTATCTCCAATGTGAGAGATGAGGACTACACATGGTGCTAGGATTAATGGTTCTCCAGAGGCTATGTACCTTAGTTTCTCGTGTTATTCAAGTGGTTTGGATTTTTCTGTATTCTTGACTCTTTGTTTGTCTGATTTAGGAGGTCTTGCAAAAAGATGTTTCCCCTGTTGAAAAAGTGATACAAAGAGATGAAGAGCAGCTTGTTTCTCTTGTTGACTGTTTGAACCCTGTTTCAGATGAGAAAACTGATGGACGTCAAAAGGGGGTCTCTGATGATGAAAATGGAGATGGTTGCCATAATCTGAAGATCGACATACCCAATGGTTCTGATGCTTCAAGTGATAATGACATGGCAAGGTCTATGGAGAATACCGCTTCTGTGCTTCCTTCAGCTTTATCTGATTTTGTGGAGCCTTTAGGTTCAAAGCGTTTAATTGATACGAGAGAATTGAATGTTCAAACTAAAAGGAGTCGAACCATCAGTGTACATAACGATGAAAGTTCCCTGGTAAAGGAGCATTCTACTTCCAATCTGACGAAGTTGGACAACGTATGCAACATGAAACAAAATGACCATGGTGCTGATTCTCTTCCACCAGAGAGTCTGAACAAGAAGATCCGCTGTACTGCTTGTGATCAAGTGGTTATTAAAGCATATGCACATCCCTTTCTAAAAGTAATTGTTTGTGCAGATTGCAAATGTTTGATGGATGACAAGAAGAATGTAAAGGTATAGAAAAAATTCACCTGTCGACCTTACTGAAATTTGTGCTTTGGTTATGCATAAGCTTCTGGCTGCATTATGACATTGTTCATCATATCATATATGATTTAATGTTATTGGTAAAAAAAAAATATCGTACTCTGTTCAATGTTAACGGTAAATGTATTCACTACTGATTTCTTATGTTAAAAAAACGAAATAATATACTACATTTATTGGTAATTGATTTCCCTTTTCAACTCCCTTTTTTCTTCTCTCATGCAATGTTTCTTTTTTAGCTAAGCTGTGGAAGGTTGAATTCCACCGTTGTTCCTGAGTTTCTCTGTCATCTCTTTTAGAGATACAGCATCCTTTTTCTCTTGTAGAATGTGTCGAATATGTTATTATTGGAAAAATCAGAAGATGATGAGAAATTCCTTAACGAAGAAGAAAATAAAAAATTGAAAAATATTTATGTATTTTGACTACAGAATGGCAGACGTAGTAACAAAATATGAATATATACATTCTTTGACCAAAATAAAATAGAAAACTCTATCCCAAACAACCTTTCAATCTTCTTGTTTTTTTGTTCCCTAAAACATTATCCCTTTTCCCTCTAGCCAAACTTTGAATATTGAATAAAGAGTTGGAACTGAATATCCTCAAAGAGCTTTCAACCTTTTATTAGCAGCTCCTCTTGGAGTTCTTTGTCCAAGTGTTTTTGGCAATTATTCTCTTTTCTTGATTAATGCCATGGAGTGTTAGTGGTCCTGCTTGGCTTTGATGTGGGAGAATGCTTTCTTCCTGACCATGTATTGTTTTTTCATACATCACGTTTTAACTTATCCAACATGGAATGCAAGTAAAAGTGATGATCTTATTATTCTATTGTTGTCTTTTATTTTTCACATCCTATCATTTGAACATAAAAAGGCTTTTCTAAAAGTTTTTGGCTTTCATGTTGGAATGGTTGCAGGAACCTGATTGCTCTGAATGCTATTGTGGATGGTGTGGACGAAATGCTGATTTAGTTAGTTGTAAATCATGCAAAACTCTATTTTGCATCAGTTGCATTAGGAGGAACCTTGGTGTCGAGTGCTTGATCAAGGCCCAGTCTTCTGGCTGGCACTGCTGTTGTTGTTGCCCAAGTCTCTTGGAACGCTTGACTATGCAGTTGGAGGAGGCCTTAGGATCTGGAGATTTGACAGGTTCCAGCTCCGATAGCGATTCAGACAACCCAAATGCAGATATAAATGTAACCATAAGGTAACTTGCAACCCTTATTATCATTATTTCTTTTTATTTATTGACAAGTAAACAAAACTTTTCATTGAGGTTATGGAAGTTACAAATAAATCCTTAGAGGAGAATAAACCATCGGCCTAAAAAAACTCCAAAAAAGATGGAATAAATACCCCAAACCCCTCAACTGGAGTAAAAAAATAAAAGAAACTGCATAATTATCCATTTTGAAAAGGAAAAAACTATGGGCCAATGCAAACACCACCTAGGAGCTATAGCAATGAAACACCAAAAGAGGCAGACCTTCAAGTAGGGAGTCCTCTCTTTGCAAGACTACTTGGAAATTTTTTCATCAAAGCTAGACTTTTCCTGAGAAGCTTGCAATTTTAAAACGCACCATATGAAACCAGTAGATGCCACAGACTTAATTGGATTGAGCCTTGGCAGTCGTGGTTGGAACAACTCGGAAAATCCTACCACTTCACCTACTTTATTGCCCCACTCATTTCCTCTTTGTCCTCTATGTGTTTGTTGAATGGCACCCTCAAAATTTTATGGTCCTTATTATGCAATTGGTTACCCATTCACCCCCATTTGTCTCTCTATTCAAATCCCTCAATTGTAAGATCCTATTGCCTCTATTTAATGCTTTCCATTTAAGATTTTTTCCTTTTTCTTTTTTTCTCGTATGAAACCTCACAATTCAAGTGAAATTACTTATATCATGGAAATTTGAATTTTGAACTAAGATTCTTTGACAGCCAAGCAAGACCTAGCTTCTCTCTTGCTTCTCTCTCTTCATGCACGTTAACTTTTGTCAGTTTTGGTGTTCTTCATGTGTCTCCTCAAAATTTTCTCTCTCTCATATCTCTCTCTGTTTTTTTTTTTTTTGATAATTGGGACTTGGAGCTTTGCTCCCATATACCTAGGGACACCCACGACAACCCCAAGGCCCAGACCCGAGAGACATCAAGGGTTTCTGGTATTAAGCTCACCAGGAGATTTGAACTTGAGACCTCTAAGCAAGTATGACCCAGAGACCCCAATCCTTTGCCAACTGGACTGTCCCTTGGGGGCTTATCTCTCTCTCGTATCTAGAAGTCTAACCCCTCATTTCAGACTATCTTTGTGGAAAATAGAGGAAACAGGCATGTCCTCGTCTCTCAAGCACTTGGCTTTGTTGCTTGGTCCTACAATGTTATCACCACTCAACTAGCTTCTGTTGCACTATCGATGATTTAGGAAAAACTAGCTGGTTTGACCTTGTCATCACTAATGGCAGTGCCTGGATAGACCATGGATGGACATGTACATCTAACTTGTAAAAAATACAAACATAAGAAAGAATCGAGTCAAGGGTTCTCCAAACATAAATCAGAAGAAAATGGACCTCCAAAAAGCAACTGAAGAGCTGGACAAAAAGGAAGAACTGAGTCCCTCACTCCAGAAGATCTAGCAAGCAGACATGACATGAAAGAGAGGTCGACCGAAACCATAATGAATGAACAGCGAATGTGGATGCAAAAAGGTAAATTGAAGTGGCTCCAAGAGGGTGATGAAAATTCCAATTTTTTCCACAGATGGTCCTCCCTTAGAAAGGGTCGCTCTTTGATGACTGACCTGGAAGATGAACAGGGCAATTTGCTTACCAAGGGGGAGGACATAGAGTGGTGTAAACCAATTGAGAGAGAATGTTATCAAAATTGAAGTCTGCCTCTAGAGAACAAAAGAACTCCTATTTATAGGTAGGAGCCTTAGTACACCAGATAAAAGAAATTAATCCGTTGGAGGCTAACTACCTAACGTGTCTAATAATAAGAACTAACTAAATAACCCTTTTAACAGCTACATCAGATTGCCCCCTTCTTAAGAAAAACTCGACCTCGAGTTTTATGGGGCTAACAAAAAACTGTCTGGTGCAACATAATGTGATAAATCAGCAACATTAAAGACAGAGTTGATAGAGTATTCAGGCGGTAGTTGTAGTTTGAACGCATTTGGTCCACACTGTTGGACGATTGGGAAGGGCCCAATTTTCTTCTTGTTCAGCTTGCTGTGTTTTCCAGCTGGGAAGCAGCCTTTTCTTAAGTATATCATGACTAAATCTCCTTTCTTAAAGGTGTGTTGTTGCCGCTTTGTGTCTGCACTCGCCTTGTATTTTGCATTAGCAGCCTCCGTATGGTCACGGACATCCTGATGTAATTGTGCAATCCGGTCTGCCATGTGTTCTGCCTCTAGGTTAACATCAACATAAGATGGGATATTAATAAGATCAACCGTGAGACGGGGTAGCCTAGTGTAAACGATCTCAAATGGGGACTTCCCTGAGGTGCGATTGCACATGTGATTGAAAGCGAACTCTGCCTGTGCTAGGCTTAGATCCCATTGTTTTGGTCGCTCACTGGAAAGGCATCAGATTAGGTTGCCTAACGTGTGATTGGTCACCTCTATTTGTCCGTTTGTTTGGGGATGGCTGGTGGTACTGTATTTGAGTGATGTGTCAAACTTACGCCACAACGTTTTCCAGAAGTGGCTCAGAAATTTGACATCACGATCAGAGACGATTGTCTTTGGGATTCCATGAAGCCTGACTATTTCTCGAAAAAAAAGGTTAGCAATGTAAACAGCATCAGAACTCTTTTTGCATGCTAAAAAATGGGCCATCTTGCTAAAACAATCTACCACAACCATAACCGAATCAAACCCTCTAGGCGTTATTGGTAATCCGAGGACAAAATCCATGGAGAGGTCCTCCCAAATGGATTTTGGAATAGGAAGGGGGGAATAAAGTCCTGTGTTTGTTGAAGTACCTTTGTTTGTTTGACAAATGTAACACCTCGAAACATAGTTGACTACATCTTTACCGATTTGTGGCCAAAAATATCGAGAGGCTACTAAGTTGTAAGTTTTATCACGGCCAAAGTGACCAGCTAAGCCGCCTGCATGTAGTTCTTTAATAAGGGCCTCCCTAAGAGATGCGTGGGGGATACAAAGTTGATCACCTTTGAAAAGATAACCGTCTAATAAGTGAAAGTCTTTTTGGTTTCGGTTGTTAGTGCAGTCTAGCCAAATGTCCTTAAAATCCTGGTCTGTTTCATAGGTGGTTGGGAGGGATGTAAACGCTGTGATTTCACTATTGAGGATGGTGAGCAAGGTTCCTTTTCTACTAAGGGCATCGGCGGCCTTATTAGTGGCCCCAGATTTATGTTTGATGACAAAGTCGAATCGTTGGAGGAAAGACAACCATCTTGCGTGCATGCGGCTAATGTTTTTCTGGGTATGTAGGAATTTAAGTGAAAAATGGTCAGTAAAAAGGATAAATTCCTGACTTAGGAGGTAGTGTTCCCACTGTTTAAGTGCCCTAACAAGAGCATAGAGCTCCTGTTCGTATGTGCTCCTATTTTGGCGGGAGGGGCTAAGTTTTTCGCTAAAATACTCTATAGGATGATTGTTTTGGGACAAAACTGCTCCTATCCCGGTACCGGAGGCATCTACACCTACCTCAAAAAGCTGGGAAAAGTCAGGGAGAGTACAGGTTGTTCTGTGAGTTTTAATTTTATAGTTTTGAAGCTCTCTGCTTGTTTTATGCCCCAGAAGAATTTCCCCTTTTTTAGACAGTCGGTTAGGGGTGCTACCAGTGTACTAAAGTTGTGTATAAACTTTCTATAAAAAGAGGCTAGCCCTAGGAAGCATTGGATTCCTTTCACTGTAGTAGGTTCTTTCCATTCAGATATGGCTTTAATCTTATGCGGGTCCATTGTGATCGTGTTTTCCCCTATGATGAATCCTAAGAAGGATATCTCTGAAGCAAAGAATAGACACTTCTTTAGGTTGATGATGAGTTTATTATCATTGAGAGTGGAAAATATTAAACTAAGGTGCTGGACATGTTCTTCCCTAGTTTTGCTATATATTAGTATGTCGTCGAAATACACAACCACAAATTTGTTTAAGAATGGAAGAAATACCTGGTTCATGAGCCGCATAAAGGTGCTTGGCGAGTTTGAAAGACCGAAAGGCATGACAAGCCATTTGAATAATCCTTCGTTTGTCTTGAAGGCTGTTTTCCATTCATCACCCGGTCTTATCCGGATTTGATGATAACCACTCTGAAGATCAATTTTGGAAAAGATAGTTGCAGCCCCAAGTTGATCAAATAGGTCATTGATGCGTGGAATCGGAAATCTGTACTTAATTGTGATCTTATTAATAGCACGACTATCCACACACATCCTCCACGACCCATCTTTCTTGGTTGTGAGGAGAGCGGGAATGGCACATGGACTTAGGCTAGGTTGAATATGTCCTTTGTCTAGTAATTCTTGTATTTGGTCATGTAAAATTTTGTATTCGTTTGGACTCATACGATAGTGGGGTAAGTTTGGAAGGGTAGCTCCTGGTAAAAGGTCAATGTGGTGTTGTATATTTCGTAGGGGTGGTAGGGTGGTAGGTGGTGTAGTAAGTGTTGGGAATTGGGACAGAAGGTCGAGGACTAGAGATGGTGTGGCGTTGGTCGGTTGAATATGTGGAGAATCAAACTCTTTTATGACAAGGCCAAGGATTGGTCCATCCTTGTTCATCATGAGATTTTTTCCTTTAGTAAAAAAGAAGAGCTGTCCTTTTTCCTTAGGTTTGGACGAGATAGGACCTATTAGGGGGAGGAGCACAACTGTTTTGCCCATCCAAGAAAACTCATATGTATTCTCTCGTCCCTTATGGATTGCTTGGATGTCATATTGCCATGGTCGGCCAAGAAGGATGTGACAAACGTCCATATCGATAACGTCACAAATGATTTGGTCCTTGTAGTTGTTTCCGATGGACAAAGGGATGGTGCAGATGCTTGTAACAGGGGCTTCTCCCCCTTTCTTGATCTAACTTATTTTGTATGGGTTAGGATGGGGAGAAGTCTTAAGATTTAAGGTTGTTACTAATTTGGTAGACACCACATTTTCGGTGCTTCCGCTATCAATAATAACATTACAAACCTTACCATTGACAGTGCAGCGTGTCCGAAATAATGC